TACCATGCCTGGCTAATTTTTTTTGATTTATTGTAGAGATGAGGTCTCGCCTGCCCAGGCAGGTCGCAAACCCGCGGGCTCAGGCAATCCACTCCCCTCAGCCTTCCAAAGGCGCGGGGTTGCAGGCTGAGCCACCGATCCCGGCTCACGTGTCCCCTCTCATATGCTCTCAGTTTCAGTCAACATACAGCTTTCGGGCAGTGACCACAGGAGCCCCAAGCATAGCAGGAAATGGGGACGCCCATCCTACTCCACCTGCACCTCTTGCCTTGGGGCTGGCAGGGCCCCAGGGTGGGCCCGGGGATGGGCCAGGAAGAGGGAGGATGCCTGACTCTGCTGGCACTAGAAGGTGCTCTGGGCCACTCCCCTCCTCGCCAACTGATGCAGGGCGTGGACGAGTGGCTGATCCGCACCCATAACGTTGGCTGGTCCCAGCCTTAAGCTTGAAGAGGCACTTGAGGAAACAGCCTCCGAGAGGTTGAGGCATTTGGGAAGGCCACACCACCAGTGACAGAGCCGTGATTTGCACCAGGCCTGGGTGAGCCCCAGGTCCGCTCCTCCCAGCGAGACTTCCCTTTCTTGGGATGTCACCAGCAGCCACAGCCTCCCTCCAGAGCCTGCAGGCTGGTGACCCCACCCTTCCTCAGAGCCAAAGCCCTGGGAATGACCCAGTGGAGGTGGGGCTCCCTCCCTCCTCCCAGCCCATGTCCCCGGGACCCCCATGGCCTGTCCTGGGGAGGAGAAGGGGGCCTGAGAACAGACTGGGTGCTGGGTATTTGGGTTGGTGAGGCCACTGGGTCACCCTGGGACACGTACGACCCACCTGTGGAGACGGGTGGGGTGGGGGTGCCCTGCCTTCTGCTTCCCAACTGCGCATGGGCCAAGGATTTCAGCCTGGGTGACAGTGTGTCTAGGCTGAGTGTGGTGTGCTCTAGGGTGTATTGCCCTTAACATGTGGTGTGCCACCTTCACGGGTGGTGTGATGTCTTAGAATGTGTGGTGTGGTGGGTGGCCTAAGCCTGTGCTGTGCTCTTAACATGTGGTGTTTGGTCTTAGCATGTGATGTGCCATCTTAGCGTGGGATGTGGTCAAATGCTGCCTTCCCGTCTGCTGGGCAGGAAGAACCCATGTCCACACCCAGGTGCTTCTCACAGTTGTCCCTCTTAGGACCCAAGAGACACCTGGGTCCTAAGAGCCCAGGCTGCGCCCGGCATCCTGAGGCCACAGACACTTGTAGTCAGAGCTGGAGGCTTGGGCCAGGCAGGCGATGGCAGGCAGGCACCCTCTGGGTCCTGCAGGGAAGGGAGGGGCTGGGCTCTACTGGGAGCCACATCTGACCCGAGACCTGAGCCCCAGGGGCTGGTGAGGACAGATAGGGCATCTGAGGGGTCTGATCCAACTCCAGCCTCCCCACCCCCACCAGAAGCTGCATCCTTACCCCAACCTGGCCCAGGGACCCATGGCTCAGCCCCCAGAATTCCCCTTCTGGGTCCAGAGCAGGTGTGGCTGCCCGCCAGCCAGGCCATTCCCCGTTCTGCCTGTCCTTAGCTCTGCCTGTCCTGCCCAGCTCTGCCTGTCCTTAGTAGGAGGCTGCCCAGCCGGCCTCAGGCTACATCCCACCTTGGAGCCACCACCTGCTGGAGCCGCCACCCTAACCACCTGCCACGCCATGGATGGGAGAGTGCAGGCACTTGAACAGAGAGGCTCCTGCCTCGAGGCACCAGCGTGGGGGGTCCTTCCTGTGCCTAGCTCCGGTGCTGTTGGGGCGGAGCCCCTCGTGACTGTCAGGCAGGTGATCTCCTGGGCTCCTTCGTCTGAGGGGTGCCGTGTGCCACTGGTGGTACACAGTGTGTGCTGGACGGACCCTGGGAGAACATTCCAGACACTGTGGGGCAGCCCCCAGGGTGGGTACCACTGACAGGGCCACACGGATGCATAGTTTGAGACCTGTGTTGACCGCGCCATGGGTGCACAGAGCCAGATAAGGAGGATCAGGCAGCGTGCTCCTGCCTCTCACACACACATGCACACGCACATGGGTTCTGACTCCTCCCAGTGTGAGCTGGATGGAGCTCCTGGTGTGTGCACACACACGTGCGACTGCGTGTGTGCTCATGTGTGAGGGGCCACGCACTTCTGCTCCTGCCATCTGGGGTCTGGGAAGGCAGTGCCTGGGCCCACGTTTGCCCAGGAGTCTGGGCTCTGTCCTGGGGCCAGGCCCCACCTCACCTCAGAATCCTGGGGGCCCTGCCTGGCCTCCCAGGCCCGCCCTCCACCCCTTCTCTGGCCCGGCGGTGGGGAGGAGGAGGAGCGGGTGCTGGACCAGAAGGGGCCTCTCAGAGCTCCTCTGCCCCCTGAGCCAGGCACGGGGTGCACCTGGCCCTGGGCACAGGTGTGCAGGGACCTGGCCCCGGTGCTGGCATGAACTCCTGGCCAGGCTGCCGCGAGGCAGCTGGCTTGCTCTGGTGCGTCCCTGAAGCCCACTGGGGCAGTGTATGCGGCACACAAGAGACACCTGGAAGGTCCTGGCAGATCTTGTGCAGGGGTGGCATGTGTCTGGCCAGTAGGCCTGGCTGGGTCAGGGCCCTGAGGTCACTGGGGTCCCTACTATTCATGCAGGCGAGCTGGGTGCTGGGACTGTCCCAGCCCCTGAGCCTCCAGTGCAGGATTGGAGGCAGGCAGGCCAGGGGTTGCCGGCAGTGACTCTGCCCCCAGGGGCCCTCGTGTCCCCACACCTGGCTGGTCTGCAGGCCCCAGGCACCTGGCTCGGTGGATGGGTCCCCAACCTGGGTCCACAGGTTTGACCTTCACCCCACACTCGGTGGAACTGGCCTGGTGCTGTCAGTCTGGATCTAATGTGGCCACACTGGCAGCTGGGGGTGGTGTGGCTGTCAAGGCCAAGACAGACAAGTCTTCCCAAGGCTCCTAACCCCTCATCGGGCTCAGGACCCTGGGACACAGCCCAGCCCCTACCCTGGGCTCCCCAGGGCCCCTGCCCATGTAAGGGGTGCAGCACGGACCCACCCAGCTTTCACCCTGCCTGCAAACAGGGCCAGACAGGGCCAAAGCCATGTCCTCTGCATCCCTGCAGGCTCAGCTGAGATGTGCCCGAGGCAGGTGTCTGGTGTTCTGCTGGTCCCCTGGTGGACCAGCCAGGAATGGGCTCATCCACATGACCAAGCAGTCAGGGCCTGGGCAGGTGGGCTGGGGCTAGGCCTGCTAGGCCCCCTCCTCAATACATGTGGGAACCAGAGTCCAAGCCCCCCGGGATGGGCACGGGGAGAGGCTGGTGGAGCTGCACGCCTCCTTCACGGAGCTGTTCACTTTCTTCTGCACCAATGCCACCATGCACGGCCCCATCCACCTGGTCTGTTCCAGTGGGAACCACCTTAAGGTGGCAGCCTGGGCGCTGCTGCAGCTGCTGCTGGGTGTGCTGGCTGCACTCTGCTGGCAGTTAGGGCTACTCTTCAAGATAATGGCCCCACCTGGTCTTCATGGCGCTGCCCGTGCACTTGGAGTACAAGCTCTCCCTGCTGGTCACTCTGTGTGACATGAACCCACACTGGTGAGGGCCGGGGCGTGTGGGGGTGAGCCTGCGGGAGGACGGTGGAGCCCACTGTGGGGGGAACAGACGGACAGCTGACCTCACTCCAGGTCACCGGCACACCTGAGTCCCTCTCCCGAGCAGAGCATTGTCTGGGAGTTCCAAGGGGAGAGGGAACACTGAGTGACGGGTGGCAGGCTCCTGGCGGTGGCTCTGACTCCCTCTGACCTGCCCCCAGGCCGAGTCCAGGCAGCACCATCTGGAGGCACTGGACGCGTTTGCCAGGGAGAACCTTGACTTCCTGTGCAAGTTCAATCTCAGCCGGGGCTGGGACGCCCACTCTGCCTGAGCCCCTGGCCCCAAGCCCCCCTTCCAGCTGGTCCGAGGGATCCCTCTGCAGAGGCTGAGCCTCCCCAGGCAGCCCGCACAAAGTGGGCTTCAGGCTGGTGAGTGTCTCCATCCTGGGAAGCGGCGGGCCGGGTCAGGGGAGGGGGCCACAGAGCTGACTCCTTGCCCCCAGCGTAACAGCACCGGCGGCGACTGCCTCTCCTGCACCCGTTCGTTGCGCATGGCGGCCATGCATGAGTGGTACCGCTTCCACCGCGTGAACATCCTGGCCTTGCAGCCTGCCCCCCACGACAGCCACAACAGCCACGGCGGACGTTTCTTCTTCTCCTGCCGCTACGACTGTGGGGCCAGGTGAGAGGGTGGGGCTGGGGCGGGGTCGGCTCCAGGGTCCACCCTCAGACTCGGAGCTGCCCAGCCCCCACACAGCTCTCTGCAGAGACAAGGAGGCTGCGACCCCGCAGGCCCACAATGGGGTGGCAGGGCCCCGGGTTCCAGGCACTTCCGGACCTTTCTCCACCTCACCTACGGTAGCTGTTACACCTCTGATGGCGTCTGGGCGACTGGGTGCCCAGGCGTCACCCACGGTGAATGCTAGCTTGGGTGGCAGGGGCAGGGTTGTGAGCCAGAGGTAAGGGTCTCCAGACCTTGCACGTGCCCACGCCGCCCCCCAGGGGTCAGCTGGTCCTCAGGGTGGAGCAGCCGGCCCACCTGCCCCTACTGGCTGTGGAGGCTGGCGTCATGGTCATGGTGCAAGAGCGCAACCACACACCCTTCCTGGAGCACTGTGGCTTCAGCGTTCGGCCAGGGACGGGGACCACCGTTGGCATCCGAGAGGTGAGTCGCCTCCGCTGCCGGCCTCTGCCCGGGCCCTTCTCACCCCAGGGGTGGGGCAAGGCCAGGGCCCGTGCAACCAAAGCCTCCTCCCTGCAGGACAAGCTGCGCCACCTAGGGCGTCCCTACAGCCACTGCACGGACGGCACGCAGGGCGTGGACATACCACTGCTGTTCAACACCTCATGGTCCATGCAGGTGAACCTGGACTGCCAAGGGCCCGGGTGTCAGGAAGCCTGTGGGGAGGGCGGCCACAGTGGGACAGCGGCTCCCGGCCCTGGCTATGGTCCCTGTGTCCCTCCAGACCTGCTTGGCATCCTGCTTCCAGCAGCTGATGGTGGAGACCTGCCCCTGTGGCTACTACCTCTACCCGCTGCCGTCGGGGGCTGGATACTGCAGCCCCGCCCGGCACCTGGCCTGGGGTGAGCCCTGTCTACCGCCCTCCCGCAGCCCCAGGGGCAGATGCGGGTGGGTGGTTCCTGAGGTGCCTGTGCCCTCTCCCACGACACTGCTTCTACCGCCTCCATTAGGACCTGGAGACCGATCGGCTCCCCTGCGTCTCTCGCTGCCCCAGGCCCTGCAGGTGAGGGCAGCCATGGTCGGGGGTTGGGGGGACTCACTGCCCTGGGTGACACGGCGGTGATGGCCCGCGTGTCTCTCCCAGGGAGTCTTCCTTCGAGCTCACCACCAGGACCTCCCGGTGGCCGTCTGCCAAATCTGCCGTGAGTCCCCGAGGGGCAGGCTGGGGATGGACAAGCAGCAGGCCCAGGGTCCCTCAGAGCCCACCCTGACCCTACCTGTGTCCCTGTGCTCGCCACCCCCGCCACTTCCCAGAGTTCGAGGCCAACGTGACCTTTGGTGTGCAGGGCTGGATCATGGCTGTGCTCAGCAAGCGGCAGTCACAGAGCCAGAGCCGCATGCAGGGGTAGGTGCCCCCACCCCCCAGGACCATCCTGGCCCCCCACCCTGGGGGTTCCCAGCAGTCCCTCACACTCTGTCCTGCCTCAGTAGCAACCTCGCCAAGGTGAACATCTTCTACCAGGAGCTCAACTACCACACTTTGCAAGAGGCACCCGTGTACTCAGTGAGCCATGGGGCAGAGAGGTAGGCTGGGCTGGTGGCCGCCCGCGCGGGTGGCAGGACTCAGACCCTCTCTCGCCCACAGGTGCCACAGCTGCTGTCATGGGCAGCCTCTGGAGCCTGTGGTTTGCCTTGTCCATGCTGTCTACCTTGGAGGTCCTGGAGATGCTGCTGGACGTGCCAGCCCTTGCCCTGCTGCTGGGCAGCCGCTGGCTCCACAGAGCCTAGGTGTTGTGGCTGGAGCCAGCCTGCCTCAGGGGTGCTCCAGAGCAGCAAGCCAGGGGCCAACCGCACAGGCCCAGCCTGCAGGCAGGATGTCAGACAGGCTGGGAGCTCAGTTGGCCTCCTCTGCCCTGGATGTGGAACCAGCCCTGCCTGGGCACTGGCCTCACAGCCTGGTCCTCGGAGCTGCGGCTCCCCTGGCTGCTGAGGTGGCTGGACCATGCCCAGGGCCCAGGAAGCAGCACCTGTGGCCTGCACATCAGGGCTCCTTGGTGCTCCATGCCTGCCGGTGGCGTCTCAGGCTCAGCCAAGGCAGGGCAGAGGGGGTTCCCAAGTTCTGGCTGTGACTTGGCGTGTGCACATACACATGGGTGGAGGTGCCGCCACACAGTGGTGTGACCACTTGGTGTATGTCTGTGCACGTTTCTGCGTGTCCACACATCTGGCACCTGGTGTACAGGTGTGTGCCCATGTGTCAGGTGGGGCTGCCTGGGCTGGGCAGCCTCTGGGTGGACAGGGTGGAGGCCAGTCAACGTGCTGGTGATTTTGGACTCTGTAATAAAGTTTGTGAACCCGCCTGGTGGCTGCTGCGTGTGCCTCCCTGTCACCTGTCCAGTGAGTGAAACACCCCTGCACCCTGACGCCTCCTTGGAGCCAACCACAGTGGCCACACTGGGTGTAGGGCCAGGGACAAGACCAGCCCCAGCCATCCTGGCAGGGCAGCGTCCACCCCTCCTCCCACAGGGGACACAGGCCAGAGAGGGTAGAGGTGCCAGGGATGGGGCCATGGGGGTGTCAGGACTCAAGACTTTTTTTTAAGAGACGAGGTCTCGCTCCATCACCCAGGTTGGAGGGCAGTGGCATGACCACAGCTGATCATGGCTCAAACTCTTGGGCTCAAGGGATCTGCCCATCTCAGCCTCTGGAGCACCTGGGGCTACAGGCATGTGCCACCACACCTGGTTAATTACTTTTTGTAAAGACAGGGTCTTACTATGTTGCCCAGGCTGGTCTTTTACTCCTGTAATCTTAAATTCCTGTAACTCCAAGTAATATCTGTGTGAGCCACTGTGCCCAGCCAGGAATCAGATTTGGTCAAAGAAACCCTCCCTGCCCCATCCTATCAGGCCCCTGGCAGCTTAGCAAGTCTGAGCTCATCCGCAGGTCAGAGGCACAGGGCTGCCTGCTCAGGTACTACCCCTGGGAAGGGCAGGGGACCCAGAGATGCCCCCAGCTGACACAGAGCCAAGCAAGGCGGGTGAGCCAGTGAGCAGGTGGTGGGCGCAAGCGGTTTATTAACAGGAGTTCCAGGAGCAGGCGGTGGACCTGCCAGCCAGGCCCAAGACAGGGTGGAAGGAGCTCAAGCAGGGAGAGGAAGGGGTTAATCCTGTTATTTGGGGTCACAGCCAGCAGGCAAGGGAGTTGAGGGCAGCCCTGTGTTCACCCTGCTGCCCTGGGAGCCTCGGGCAGCATTTGCATAGTGATCGCGAGGGACCTTGGCCAGCCTGAGGGCCGTGGGGGGGAAGGGCCCGGCCTCTGTCGGGACCGCCTCGGAGGTGGGGTGTAAGAAGGCATCCTGGCCCCTGGACCCACCGCAAGGTCCAGCCCAGGGGCAAGGGCAGCATGGGGTGAGGCGAGGGCCAAGGTAGTCCTTAAGGTCCACAGAGCAAAGACACAAGACAGATCAAGGTGGTTGTAGAAAACCCACTTGGCAGTAACAGAGGCCATCAGATGCAGGTGGAGAGTGGCAAAGTGGCTTTATGCACAGGCTCCGGGCAACGCCGCGAGGAGGCGCCTCGAGAGCGAGGAGCAGGGCCAGGGCTGTCTGGTACCGGAGGCTGTGTGGCCAGCCACATGGCCCCAGGATGCCCATGTCCAGCCAGGGCTGAGGCCCCGGCCAGCATCCCACCCACCCAGCACCCGTGAGGCCCAGTCTGGATGCTGGGGTCCCTCCGTGAGGTACTCGGGTTGGTTCCCTGGATGAGCCGCCCTCTAGTCACCAGCCCCAGGGCCAGGCAGAGGGGCTCTGGGAGTGTGCAGGACAGACCCAGCGGGCAGGTCAGTGTGTGGGGCATGACGGTGAGGGCACGAGGTGACACAGGCCCTGAGGACAGAAGGGCACCAGGCGACACGAGCCTTGAGAGTGGTTTGTGACATGAACAACCCAGGCCCTGGAGAAGGGCTGACCTGAAGGCAGGGGTCCCCAGGTGGGTGCGGGGTACCGGGCCACACAGCACCCTGGGAAATGCAGGGCTTCAAAGGCTGGAGTCAGGCCCCCTCGCCCTGGGACCAGAAGGAGGGGGGCCGGCGGGAACAGCGTGGAGGTCCCAGGCGGGGCGGCTGGCAGGGTCTCTGGGGGCATGCGGGCACGGGCCCCAGCCCTGGTCCCAGCGGAGGTGGATGCCACCGGCGGCCCTAGCCCTCGTCCAGGTGGAGGCTGATGAACTCCTGGATGCACCTGCGGTACTGGAGCTCGGTGGGACTGCTGCCCGCCAGGGCACCCGGCTGACCCGCGGCCGCCTCGGCTTCCCGCATCTCCTCCGCCATACGCGCGAGGCGGAGCCTGGGGGAGGCCGCAGTGAGACGACCCCTCCCGCGGACGCCCCGCCGCCAGGACCACGCCCCCCGCGGCGACCCCGC